CTAAAGCCCTAAACCCTAAGCCCTACCTCCTAAAGGACGGTTTGAAGGTCGCAGTTCGGGGCTTTTTGCACCAGCGCTGCGGTCCATAATGTGAGAGGTAGGGTTTAGGTTTTAGGGTTTAGGGTTTAGGGTTCAGGGTTTAGGGTTTAGGGTTTAGGGTTTAAGGAGGGTCCGTAAGGTTTCGGGCTTAGGGGTTTAGGGTTTAGGGAACTGATGGGCCCAAGCATACAGACCATACCTCAAGGGACTAAAGGAGGGACCCTTCAAGGGACCCTTGAGGTTATACAGGGGCTTTATGAGACTACATAAGGGGTATATAAGGGTTATATAGGGTATTCCCATTTGGGGTCCCTTCTACGGGTCCCTCCTATTGTCCCTTAACCATAGAAGCACTTGAACATTTCAACTTGTCACTTACCTTTCACCTAAAAGTAGACTGAAGTGTTCCTCGTGCCGGAGGATCATATCTCCCTAGGCACTTCAACCCTGCATGGCACCCTAAGCCCTGACTGAACGTTCCTTGGAGGATCTTGGGGCTTCGTAAGTAGGGTTATAAGTACCCTAATTGGGGTTATAAGTATAGCTGCCTTGTTCATAACCTCAGTTACTAAGTCCCATGGTCCTTTAAGTAGATCCTAAAGCCTAAATCCTAAACCCTAAACCCTAGATCTAAAGCCTAAACCCTAAATACCTAAAGCCTTAAAAGAGAGTCTGGGCAGGTACTCATGGCGCTAGACGCCCACGGTGACGTCCACGAGGCGGAGTGTGTTCTATGGACCAGGGTGAGATCTGCCTGGGGGTCATCATGCGGTGGTTAGATGTAGACTTACAGCTACTGAGTTCTCCAATATCCAACCTTTAAGTTCTTTTGCGTTCTTAGAAATTAGTGGCAATCTGAAAGTTTAAACTTACATTTTCCTGGCTTATTGGCGGAGTAAGACCAACTAATGATGCTTCACATTCCCAAATAGCCTTTCGTATTCTATGGTTTTTAATAGTTAAGGCTCAGCAGCCTTGATTTTTGTTCCCGACTTGAAGGATCAGGGGACGTAGTGAGTAAGGCTACAACTACCTATTCTTTCGGTTCGAAGAACCTGTGAAGCCTCAATTAGATTCGAGGTGCAGTGTTCGTGGTATGGTTCGAGGAACTGCAATAAGAAGCCAAATAAGTAACAGCTAGGACAGACTCCGCAAATCAAAGGTTGCCGTTTCCCTGGATAGCAAGTTCGATCTTCAAACCATGAGCATGTGGTTCGAGAGTCCCGCTTATGCCTCCGAAGCTAGTGGCGGATGGGCACCTCTACTATGGGGTTTTTATCTAATTCATTACCTATACTCCTATACTGGTTTAGGAGTTCCTTATTATAGTTATACTATAAACGGTGGCAAAGCTCCATTCTAACTATTAAGGCCCTACCTCACCGAACCGTAAACCCAAGCTTCTAAAAAACCAAAGCCCTAGTCCCGACCCTGTAGAATCAAGAATACCTAAATCCTAAGGGTCCAAGTACCTAATAATCATATGCTCTCCCAAATAGTAACCTACATAACTACTGTCCGAAACCTAAGTACCTAATTATTGCATCCTTTGGACCCTTAGGGTAAATCTCCTAAACCCTCCAAGCCCATCCTGACCCTAGGGTTAGGGTTTAGGGCTCCGAAATCTGGTCCAAAGCCCAAGCATCAAATCGTGAAGTTCAATCCCAAGATCTCACTCTCTGAAGCCCGAAGCCCATGTCCCTAATCCCTGAATGTTTACATGGTACGTACATGAAGTCTGTACCCTTGTAGGTCGTTATGTTGCAGGCAAAACCTTTAAAGAGGAAATCTAGAATATCATTAGCCTCCCGCAACCAAAGCAGGGTAAGGCACAGGGAATCCCAGCACGACCCTAAACCCTAAACCCTAAACCATACCTCAACCATCCTTCAACTGTTCGGGGTGCACAAAGATCCGAAACCCTACCTTAGTAGCTCAGTGAACACACTTTACACTTTTGGGGATATTGTGATCCCTTGTAGAGCTGAAAGTGTACACTTTTCGGGGCTTATGAACTCAGCAACTAAGTAAACCCTAAACCCTAAACCCTAAACCTCCTTATCTCGTCGTTTTGGATGCCGCGAAGGCTGAGGGCCAGAGTCCAGTGGAGATCGGGGGCTCGAAGGGGTTTAGGGGTTTGGGTTCGGCGTTTAGGGTTTAGGGTTTAGGGTTTAGGATTTAGGGTTTAGGATTTAGGATTTAGGGTTTAGGGTTTAGGGTTCAGGGTTCGGGGTTTAGGGCTTAGGGTTTAGGGTTTAGGGCTCAGGGCTTCGGGCTTAGGGTTTCGGGCATGACAACTAAGTAGCGCCAAATGCCCTAAGACTAAGCCCACGACACCTTGCTATAGGAGTCG